AATGTGGATGTATTTTCGAGCCCGCACAGTGGATTTTTTGAAGCACAGCATGTTCATCCCTTTACTTCTATAAGGTTCATGTGCCAGCGCTTAGTGAGCTTGGATGATGACAACGAGCTCCTCAGGATATAGGTTTAGTTAGAGCACCTTTCTCTTAGATGGATGGCCTTACAGAGCTAAGAGAGCTCCATCTGGTCGGCTTTGGAGTTAGAGCTGCTCTTCCCCCTAGAATGTTGTCGGGAGGTTGGCGAGCTTATTCTGCCTGTGAACATATTTTATCTAACTCTTCAGTTGAGACCTACCTGTCTGACCTTATTGGAGGCATATGCACTGCCAGCATATTTCGAAACCTCATAAGGGCACGCAAACTTCTCTTCTTCACGGACATCCTCTATACGGGTTTCCATACAGGAGTAAAAACGCAACTACTAGAGAAGTAAATGCCATGTAAATTTGTGATTGTGAAAACGGTTTAGTGAGGTTAACTGCTACTGAGAGAGGACTCTGTTGAGAGGAAGAAAAATGATAGAGTGAAGAGATTGTAAAGAGAGGAAGAGAATATTTTTGAAAAGTTTTTGCAATAAGCCACTTGTCGTTTGCAGTGGAAACAAATGAAAACTAGAACTGAAGCAGTTGTAGGCAAGGTCATACTTCTCAGAATCATTTCTGTAGTGTGTTTTTCTTCGCTGTTAGCGAAAATGCGAGGGAGCGCGACCGCGATGATGTGGCATGGCGTCACCTCCAGAGCGGGTTGAAGTCTCTTGTCCTTACTTTCAGGGTCTTGGATGCTATGCTTGATGACTGCAGGAAGAACCCTGAAGAGGGTTTATCCTAAGGAGTTGACGCTTGCTGAGCGGTCATACCAAAAGTAGAGAGGATAGTGAACTATGAAGTGGTAATAGCGGTCATTGATGATTGTGGACACTGAAGTGGCTTCTACGTGAATCATTTGAAATATCCAACTGTAGTACACCGTGAAGGTAATGAAGGAAACACTGTCAACAAGAATGCAGTTAATGTATGCTTCATCATACGAAGTTCCATCTTTTATTGAAATCGAGGGAGAAATACTTGATGAATGTTGTCAAGCTCAATTATTGAAATAGGTCCTAACATTTTCTTTTGAAGGTTGTTCAAAATCTTGCGCTCATTGTAATCGACAGTATTGGTGCAGCATTAGCATTCACAGCTTGGGGATATTCCGAAGGAGGTTCATTCTTACGTTAGAATGTTCATTTAACTAATAAAACATGTAGAAATTATACTGTTTAGCGGAAATAGGTCCTAACATTTTACTGAACTGATTCCCGTCTGCTGTAAACTATATATTGCCTTGTTATGCGAAATTTTGCGGGAAATTTTATGTAAAAAAATTTAGGAAATTATATAGAAAATCTTGGGAGAAAAATTTGCTGAGTGGCGATAGATTATTGCTCTCCGGTTACTTAACAAATTTTTTAATATCAAATTTAGGTCGACGAATCCAGGATGAAATTATCGCTATGCTTCGTTATATGACACATCGTGGTTGTGCCATCGTAACAACCAATCATTTTGTCTACTGGCGTGGGAAGCCATCTCCATCACTTGGTAAACGCTGGATTCAAGCGGTTGATTTCAGATATTTGTTATTCAAATTATCAGGATCTAACTGCTATATTCAACTGATCAATTCCAAATATTTTAAGGTTCATTACCTTTAACTTGTCACCATTATTATTATTATTATTATTATTATCATTATTAGTATTATTATTAATACTATTATTAGTATTACCATATTATCATTATTATTTATTATTATTATTATTATTATTATTATTATTATTATTATTATTATTATTATTATTATTATTATTATTATTATTATTATTATTATTA